GTGTGTGTGTGTGTGTGTGTGTGTGTGTGTGTGTGTGTGTGTGTGTGTGTGTGTGTGTGTGTGTGTTCCAAAAGTAGTGTGTCAGGAAAAAAGACGACAAAAGAGGATCAACAATCTACAGCTAAAAACAGGAGTTTGCAGCGACCACTTTCTAACAGGTGAGGATCGTATCGTTTAAATCATATTTTCAGACATTTTATTGGACAGTTACTGGAATTTGGGTTTACAGAAGGTAAATAAATTATTTACAAGTAGATCCAAGCACATTGCCACCACATGGGGTTAAGTCACTGTTAGCATTAACGATCGCATTGCTATCATAGGTTAATTAAAATAGCACGTCTCACTACTCAGCAAGTCGACCTTAATGGCTGACCCAACCTGAAACTAAATAACTGTAGGTTCGAAGCTTTTGAAAGCGTTCATCCGGCTCATCGTTTAATACGAAGCCTGCAGCACCAGATCCTATCGACCAGATTATATAACAAGTCTTATTTATTAAGACAATATGGATCATATCCGAAATATAGGCACTATTTTTCGCAATATCTCATCTGCGCCAGCCTATTTAGGGCATTAGCGTACTCGCCGTGATCCATTTTGCTGTGTTTTGAACAGGAGCAAATCACTTCCTGCCCACCATCTGAATTTTGCACGTCATCTGGGTCACGTGACCCACAGCAATCTTACAAAATGTCCCATTGTGAGTATCAAGTTTTAGCACAATATTTTAAAAACTGACTTAGTTATGCAGGTTTTGTGTCAGCTAATGTYATAATTCTAAAAGTTAATCCGGTATAGATGTACATCCAGTGAMTGATTTCTAATAGTTTCGAYAAAATATGTGCAGTGGTTCATGAGATATGTTGCTAACAGACAAAACACACACAAATATGGACAAAAACATCATTATATGTCTTTACCTTATAGCTGTGGAGGATAAAAATACACCTATCATTTCCCAGAGTTTGTACATATTTTTAGATTTTGCTTCTTCAGAACTCGATGGCTCATTCAAAAGAAGCTGAATGTGTTAAATGTTCCACTTCTACAGCACGCACACACGCACACGCACACACACACACACACCATGTAACTACAGGGTGTGACTCCTGTCTGCACTGAGTTAGTGTCACATGTAGTGAGACTGAGTGTTCAGACCTGCTGTCCTTGTCTGTGTTCTCGATAATAAGAGGGATCCAGTGATCGGTCACCTGCACACACAAGTAAGACAGATTCTCATCGAGTCCRCTTTTTRACTGATAKACAAATAAAATATGGAAATGTCATCAGCAGGAGTGCCTCACTTTCTCTATGGACATCTTGTTGTTGACGGCATAGACGATGCAAATGACATTTGCCTGAGTGAGAGATCAGCACAGATGCCCGTTAGGCTTCCAGCTAGAGCGTCCCTAATGGCGTAATTCATCTACCTACCTTGGAGATTTCCTGAAACAACTGCTCATCTGTCTGCTCCGCTTCTACAGAAAGAAACGCAAGCATGTTGAAAGAAAACCAGGGAGGAGAACAAACAAGGGAACAGCTCAGTCCTGTTTAACCACCTGAATAATCCACAATGTGAGTGGGAACTCTTTCTGGGGTGACATCCGCAGGTATCGTGATCTCCTCAACTCGATACGGAACCTGCAAAACACGAGGCTTCAATGAAACRATTCAAATTGAAGGTGTAAAATTTCAGCTGATAGAATATGAGAGGGTCCGTACCACAACTGGGAACTCCTCACTGACCAGGGACATGATGAGAGACGTTTTYCCCACCTTGGCTGTGAAGCGAGAGCAGCACAGTTTAGCTAAAAAGGCTTACTGACTAGTGTTGGGCAAAACTATCTTGCGTGCACTTCATCAACAGAAAAACTGTCAACAATTAATATCAGCCACTTTGCAACTACTGCAATGTGATGAGGTATTTTTGTGGGACACACTATCATTATTAGGCACGCATGTGAGGCGGTGCAGAGCAACTAATGCTAACTCTAACCTTGTGAWCTGTTTAATCACCTGAAACACTGACAAAAAAACAGAAGCCAGAAAATGCAGACAAACGCTACAAAGTCAACTACATGCAAGTGGAATTGTCATTTACGAATTGTTATCAGATAAATGCCACAATTAATTGATAATTGCTTTTGTCAATATCACCCATCCCTATTACTGACATATAATTTACATTCTGACAAAAAAATAGTGGTGAAAATTAAGTTAAACTTCACGTTAAAAGCTTTTGTGACGATAATTAGAAGAGACTGCAGGCCTTTAACTTAATTATTGACTGGCTGTCGGCACACTCCAGCAACTACCTGATAACACCACTTCATTCCCTTGGGCCACCACATGCCTTTTATTTGCAATACGTAAATTGCATGATCCATCATTCTGAGGATTTCCCAGGACTTGAGTTGGAATTATAAGTAAGAAAATATCCACCTATAACTAGTGTTTAGCAGTAAGAGGAAAACCAGACTCCATCACTGCTGTTAAAGGCTGACTCTGCACAGATTTGACCTGCAAACAGCTCCAGCGTAAGAAAAGCTTCACACTTACACTCCCCCACCAGTAATATCCTCACGTCCTTGCGCATCTTCTCTATCGACGTGAACCGAGTCGACAAAGAGGTTTGTGTTCAACATTTACGCTCCGTTTTGTGTCTGAAAGATGATCATGAAGCCAGCCTGGGTGTCTCTCCGCGGCCTGACTCGCTCTCTGACGGCTATGTTCGCATCTCAGCCCGGCTGCTTCACGGTAAACGACACGCTGTTAATTAGCTAGCTCGTTAATAATCCGGAGGTCCAAACAAAACGCTTTTAAAAATCCTCTTCTACAAGACAGGCTGAGTCGGATGATGCTGCTGCAACCGTGGTTCGGTCGGAATCAGACGTGGCTCCTTAGCAGCTATGTGGAGACAGATGAGAGGCTCCGCCAAGCCTCCTCGTCTCCGCTGCGGCTAAAACTRACACCATATTAAAACATGTTTTTTGAAAGAAAAAAAAACTATCTTTAAATACAAACAAGTTTTCTGGCATTTCAGATTTTTTCTCCCTGAATTTACTTCTCTCCAATTCAATTTTAGATCCAGGGAAAATACATCGAAGTGAGTCGTCTTCGTTTTTTACTATCAATCTTGTAGTTCTTCCATGTAGTTCTTGTGAAAGTGCGCCGCCACCTAGAGGCAAAAATAGGAAGCGCAGTAAATTGCCAAAACAGTGAAAAGTTTACAGGACGTTTCACCTTCTGCACCATTTAATTTTCACCCAATTTTAATAAAGTTTTAAAAAAAAACTTCAATTTAGATTTGCGCACCCATTTTTTGTTTTTAAAAGTCATTAAAGTAGTATGCTGGCTAATTATTCCACCCAGAAACAACGAGACAAATAAAACATTAAAGGCTTAAAATTAACAGGACTGTCATATAAGGGCATATAAATTATATGTAAATATCCAACAAAAAAGTATCAGTAAAGTTATTAATCAATAGCTTTTTATATGCTTTATTTTTTTCCCAGACAAGGAAATTTGTTCATATGAATGAATTTTTTTCCTGACAGATTTTTTTAATAATTTCAATTGAGAGCAAATGTGAGTAGTCATCAAAATGTGCAAATCGAGTTACATAAACTACACAAAATCAACAAAAATATAATGGTTTTATCAAAGAAAACAATTATAAAATCCTAAATAAACTATAAAGACTCCAATAAATACATTTTGTTCATTTTTAATACACAGACTAATGCAAAAGAATGTTTTTATGAGTCATTCTCATGCACTAAATAAAACAAGTCCAGTGTTGTTGACATGCTGCCTCTGATGTGTCAGTAACTTCTGCTGTGTCACTTTGTAGACAGTTTGCTAAAAAAAAAAAAAGTCCCGGTCATTTTCCTCGTCTCAAAGTAGCTTCATCTGCACACACAAAAAGAGAGAAATGATTAGGAGTGAGGGTTGAGATTTGAACTTAGACAAGAAGACAGTGTCTTGTTTCAGCTGTAAAAGGATCTTTGTACTGGCGTAGTCCTCTGGGGTCATGGGCTGGGAGATGACCGTTCTGAAGGCCTCCATCCACTCCCTCCTCTCCTCCTCCTGCTCGCACATGAACACAAACTGCCTGCCCGGAGTCTCCAGGGTGATCCCGCAGTGCCACCGGCCTGACCGTGTGCTCCGGCTGCAGCTCTCTGACACCAAGTACCCGTGGTTCTCTGAGCCGATGAAAACTGAGCCCAGATCTGTAGCGTCCTGACCAACAGCAAAACAGAAGTCAAGTGCAAATATCTCTGATTTTTACAATTAAAATACTACTTTTGAAATGGTTAATATTGTGAAATGTTCTGTACCAGCGGAGATTTAAAATATAGAAGCTTTCTGTTCATTGAACACAAAATGAACCACCTCTTCTTAAAAGGCTCACGTTGCTGAAAAACACACAAATACAGAAATTTGATCAACCTATTACGAAATAAAAACAAAAGAATCAAAATAACTTTATAAATAATTGTAACTGAACAAACCGTTGGGCCAGTTTTCTCCATATAACCCTCCTTTAGACACTGTGTTGTTAACTGAGGTATTAACTGTAAAAATAATGTGGAAAAACACAATTATTACTGTTCAATCAGCAGCTGCRGTCAAACTTGTTTGGTCCTGTTGCACACTAAATACTTTCTAGGAATGTACAGTTTATATACATTTGGAGATGCAATTTGACTGATAACATAAAATGCATCTGTGTTCAGTAATGAAGACAATGACTAACTACTGTAGAGYAGCAGCATTTCTGTACAAATGCAGTGTGAAAGCTGAGAGCTTGTTGAAGTTTGAAACTAAAGCTAGAAGGAGCAAAACTGACTAAAAACTGCAAAACCTTACTTTAAAATGTAAMATTAGCAAAGCTACAGCTAAAAACTTAAATAAGCAAACCAATAGCTTTAGGGTGAAATTACATGAGCTAAAAACAAAGCAAATGTGCTGAAGCTGATTGCAAAAACAACAGTGTTGAGTTGAAATTTTTAAGGGTTTTTATTTTATTTTATTTTTTGTAAATGAAGTTCAAAAAGCATAAAAAGTACAAATACTAAAAGTCACTATGATAACAAAAGCCACTGCTAATCAAGCAGAACATTTTATAAAAGATGTGGAGGTAGTTTGAGTTCAAATAACTTGCAGAAAAACTGATGACTCAGCATTTATGCAAATAAACTTTGAGTATGGCTGTAGTGCATGTGCGTGTGTGTGTGTCCATGTGTGTGTGTGAGTGTAACAACCCATCTCACATCATTACTTTGAAGAGTAGGGTGTTTCTTCAGCAGGTAAGCCAAACGTGTGGCCCGAAGAGCGTTGAAAAACGATACGATTGTCTGCGAGAAGACGGGGAAAAAGCAAGTTAGACTCATTTGCAGAGCTGGACTTTTATGCAAGGGAGGTCCCAGAGGTGCCCATTCAGATGGTAAGTGCCCCCCC